AAAACACCGATGTTCCCCCCCCCGGCCCCCTTTTCCCCCCCCCCCCCCCCCCCCCCCGAGGATTTGGACCCAGGCAGCAGCACTGCCACCCTTAATTGCATTTTTCAGGCAAAGCTGCTGAAGTCAAAACAAGAAAACAGAAGGAAAAGGTCTTCCTAACAGTAGATGAGACCGAGGGAACATTTTTTGGAAAATCCTAATGAAATAATTGCGCCGTGTCATCAGATTCGGTGGGGGAATACTCTTGTGGAGGGAAAGCAACTGCCTGCAGCCAGCCAAAGTCAACACTCGCCTGTGCAGTAACAAGCAGTCTGGCCTGACGGGCCCGGCACAAGTGAACCCAAACCCCTGAAAAGAATTCCTTCCCTGCCCCAAAATTAAAAGCAGAGCAAAGCTTTCAGCCGTAGGCGTCTGTGGTTTGCAGCTATGCGGTGCTGGGAACTCCGGAGACTTCCTCAAGGAATTTACATTCCTTTGAAGAAATACTATGAGGCTGTTTGTCTTTGCTGAAAAATGCAGATGGAAAGAAAAAGAACATTAAAAATTTTGATTGAAATCTTTGGGGTCTGAGCAAATGTGCTGGACAGGTGTTTTCTTCCTTTTGATTTAAATACATCCCAAAAGAAGAGAGATTCTGGTCTCCACGAGCAATGGGAAAGCTGATCGCTTCTTGCGCCAAAATCTCCCATAAAAGCCCTGTATGAAATTAGACGCCTCAGAAGGAGCTGGAGCGGTTTCCAGATGAACACGATCATTATTTCAGAGCTGCCGTGCAGCTCCTGCGCTAAAACCCACGCTGCCAACCACTGAGTCAGTGCAATCTGGGGGGATGTGGAACCTGTAGCACCTCCCAGCAGTCGCCCCTGAGGGCTGCGGGTGTCCCCACGGCCGCTCCCGTGGGGATCGGGGTCCCAGTGCCAGGGATCTCAGTGCCTGAGGAGCGGCGCGAGGCCGCAGCCGGCTGCGCCTGGGATCAGCAGGGCTGCAGGCGCTTCTGGAAATCTTGCCGCTCTTTATTTACTAGCAAAAAACCTCCCGCTCTGGCCTGGCTTGACGCAAATGACAATTTTTTTGTGCCCTTCCAGGCTCTCGTTTCTGGGCTTGGCAGGTGAAATGGAGGTGTTTGAGCAGCCGAGGGGAATCTGCAGCCTCGCACCGGGCTCAGACCCGAGGATCTCCTGCCGCGCCAACATCCAGAGATGCAAATTTGCCTGCTAGGATGAAAAGGAAGTGTTTAACTGGAATTTTAACTACTCGATAACTAAAATACTATTGATAGTCACTGTATACAGGGGTCCTGCTTTTAAGGCACGTGTGCTCTGCCCCCTCAGAAAGCCCGTCTCTTTTTAAGCCTCTCAGACTGTACTGATCCATGCAATCCCCAGTGGCATTGGGAATCTTTTCCCCTGTCTGTACATCACAGCCTGTTTGTCCATGTTATTTACTTTTTAACTGCCTGTGCGTAGCCAGGACAGAGCGGATACGGGTATCTTATCAAGATCCTCCTTCCATAAAGGACTTTCCACCGGGCCGGGCGTGCTCGGCTTAATCAGCGACCGAACAATAGGCACATTGATGCGGTGCGGGGGGAGGCAAATCAGAAGGATCCTATGTTATTTGATAACGATGGAAAATTATTTCCAAGCGATGGGAAATGCCAGGCTGCTCCCCGTGGAGCAGACCGTGAACCCGCTGGGCACAGGAGCCACGCTCACAGCAACGCTTCCAAGCGGTGGGATTGACAGGAGCCCTGGGAGCGGTTCGAGTGGTTCAGCTGCAGGGACAAATGCTGATAGCACATCGCTGAAGTTGCTGGGTTTTGATCGGCTTTTACAGCCCTGCCGCTGCCACCCTCCTGAACCACCAAGCCACAAGCCAAGGTTTTCCCAGGGCTTCGGGAAGCTCCACGTGCTGCAAGCGGCAAAGGCTGATTTTCCCCTCCCCACGACATCCAGACCCCGATGGCAGCCTTCTGGGCTCCCCATGTCTTGCCGGGAGCGGGAGGGCACAGCTACTTCCCAGGGGCCTGAGCACAGGGAAACCACGGTACTTTGGTCCTGGTGACCCTGCATCCCAGGCAAGGCGAGGGCCCAGGGAGCACCCCCCGCCCCGCTCCCAGCGGGGACCCCCCAGCACCCGAGCAGCGCTGGCCGCAGGCCCCTGCCACCCCCAGACATCCCTGAGCTCTCAAAGGCAAGGCCGGCAAAGTACTCGAGCCCACGTGCTCCCACCTGGATTCCGGCTTGGCACCAGTGGAGCTGCTCTGGCTGAGACAAGGGAATGAGCACAGGCTTTAACCTAAAAATTCTGGGTGACGGTAGCACTAGCTGGCGTAACCGGCCCCAGCAGAGCAGGCGCGCAGAGGAACGCCTTCTGCCAAAGCCTTTTCCGACACAGCCCAAAGACTTCAGCTCATTTTCCTAAGCACAGCAGAGCCGTGGCCTGATGCTGCTGAACAGCATCCGCGTCTGCCGCCCGCCCAGCTGCGGCCAAGAAAAGGCTTGTGGAGACTTGGACATCGTCA